TTTTTTTTTTTTTTTTTTTTTTAATTTTTTAATTTTTTAATTTTTTAATTTTTTAATTTTTTTAATTTAATGTACGGAGGTGCATGAGGGAATTAAAAAGGGATTATAATCCTCTCATTCCTATTTGTTTACTAATCTAATCTTCAATTATTGTGCTCCCTTCCTTGTAAACCAAGAAATACTTGTACAAATCTTTGTTTTATTTTTACATCCCTCCATTTTTATGAAATTAAAATCCATTAAAATTACATTCATTGTCGAGAGTTACAAAAATGTACGAGCCTTTTGAATGAATGTTCTGAGATAGTAATTCCATGACTCAATACGTTAAGAAAGCACACGGTATGTTTAACTAAACATCTAAACATGCAATCTAATCCTCGTTCGTTGGTGTCGTTGTCTCTCTTGTGGCCCAGGAGAGAATGAAGAGCGATATCCGCACCCTCCAACCCATTAACCATCCTCTGTGACTTGATCACCTTCTGCAAGTCCAAAAACCACCTGCTACTGGTGCATATAGGAATGATAAAGCCTAAAGGAAGTCCTTTTCGAATTGAAAGACAAAACTGGAAAGGATTTTAGGCGCAGCAGCACCGGTTCTGGCTTGAGCTCCACTCTCGCAGGCCAGTTAACCGACCCAACAGGCTGGTGGGCGCAACATCTATTGGGCAACATCAAGATCAGTAATATAATATTGAACATGTTGGCGTAGTTGCGGGCTGTAATGATACTAATGCCACCTTACGGTGCTACCCCTTTTTAAAGGGTGGCTTTGTTAATAATTGTAGCCATGAATCTAGGCTAACAATGATCAAATATTTGGTACTCCCATAGCCTAGATTATCGTAGTGTTTCTAATGCTGTCGCAGACACAGGGCGAGGAACAAGGAACCAACAAAGTTTAATGAATATTCACAAATCCAAGTCATTCTTGTTTGCCATGTTTTCGAAGTCCCTTCCGGTAGTTGCTAACTGGCTCTAGATCACTATCGAAACTCATACCATACACTCTTCTTTCTCGTTTAAATGAGCATCCCACACTTGAAAATTGCCCACTCAAAACCCTCAAGTATCCCAATTAGTAGTTATTTCTTATGCAATTCGGGCAATGGAGATTTCAATGGCTGATTAATGTCGATCATTAGCAAGAAGAAAAAACGAGTCTCCACTCTCTCCACAATATCTTTAAGGACCTCACCTGATCACTAAAGTTATGTTCGGATGAACAAATACACTTATGCTCGAGCATGTATGCAAATTTCTCATGAATGACTTAACTACAAGATTAGGTCAACCATCCAAAAAGATTTGATTCAAAACGTATTGGATGAATTGAGAGAGACCAAAAATGATGATCCCTTCACATTATAACCTAAAAATGAAACACATTTCCATAGGGTTTGGTTTTGCTTAATTTGTGGGTTCTCAACATGAAAGCCTGGCAATGAATTGAGTGTCTCCCAATCAATCCACATGAATCAATTCCCTTTGACCACTCAAGATTATACAATGAAAACATGTTAATTTATTGGCCTAAAAATCACCAAGAATCTTAGAGCTTGTCTGTTTTCAAAAACAATTGAACAGAATAAATAACCTTGTTCATTTACAAACCCATTCCAATCACAAATTCTTACAGATACTAATTTTTCAAGATCTTGTTACCTTACCAACCATAATATTATCACATTCACATTACCCATACATTACCTAACAATATGCAATGTATATTGACTCAATAATTTGTACTGCCTTGTTTATGATCTTTTCTTGCTTCGTATACTAATACTTTATCCACCGCTAATCTAATGTACCTGTTGTGGATCATAAGTGTACTACAGAGGAACATTGTAAAGTTAGGGTTCTAAATCTAAATAAATGTTTCAGGTTGTTCATTCAGCATAGCTCAGTAAATAAGGCATTTAAAATTCTGTTGATTGAATCTCGCACCCCTACCATCATTGAACTAAGAAATATGTTTCAATCCCTAATGTTTGAATCTCAAATCCCCTTTCCATTCCATCAAGCAGTAGGGAGCTCTTTGGAGGCAGATCAGCATCTAGGTTTGTAGGCTTTATCTTCTAGATGATAGCATTTAACAGTGAAAGAACGAACCTTGATAACAATTTGGATCCGTACTCTTCTGCCAATGCTTGAGCCATGAAAATTTACCTAGGAACCTCTGTTAATCCTGGCTTTCACCGTCGTCAAGCTTCACCAAATTTCCACTAAACCACTTTTTTCATCAGCCAGCCACTCCAAATGCTTGGTTGATCAAGGCCTAAACCACAGAAACTAGAAATGTGAGATTTTGCGGCTGTGATGGAAGTAATATTTAAGTTCATACTTAAACATGAACCGGAATGGGCAGTGAAAGGGGAAACATAGTTGAATCCTTGATTCTAATGCAACCCAACAAGTATCCATCTACAACCACTATTTTATAACATTCAAGAAGATATCACCTGTGAGATCCCACGTTGGTGAGAGGGAGGAACGAAGCATTCCTTGCTTCCTTATAAAGATGTGGAAACCTCTTCCTAGTGGACCGTTTTAAAACCTTGAGGGGACATCTAGAAGGAAAAGCTCAAAAAGGACAATATCTGCTAGCAGTGAGCTTAGACTATTACATCATCATAGGATAACCTAGTGGTACAATAAAGGACTTAGAAAGAATGGGTTCAAGTCACAATGTCCACGTTAGTAACTAAATGTGATAGGGTCTAGCAATTGTTCTGTGAAAATAGTTGAGGCACAACAAGCTAGATTGGACATTCACGGATTCTTATATATAAAAGATTCGAGAAGACTTAAAAAGCTACTGCATTAATCTGCTAAAGGTGCAAACTAGGCTATACAATTCAAAGCACGGTGTATGTCTAACAATCCAAGAGTACATCTCTTCACGGTTGTCCCACCCTTGAGGAAATAGACCGGATCTTAGTAGTAACAAATTTTAGCTCTATCCATCGTTACTGAGAAATGACCAATTTGGCTCCTTCAGGAGAAATAAACTATCCTATCAGCAGAAAATTATTGAATGCGAGAAAAGTAGAAGATAATGGCAAGCAAAGAAAGCTGGAGTTTTCAGAACATACCAACAATTAACACGAAAGGACCAAACTTTTACCAGTTATATGACATTGCCTTTCTCCCCTGCTTTCTTGAGAGCCTTCAATGTAATCTCTAACGTTGAATATGCAGTAACATCCGTCAAACTTTTACTCTCAACTGCATAATCAAATACTTCATAGGCCTCCGCAATTCTACCACTCCTGCAAAGTGCCCTCACAAAAGTAGCATAGGAAGCAACTTCAAGCTTCATATCACTGGATTTCATCAAACCATACAATTCAATCCCTCTATCCAAAAGCCTAGACTTCGACAACCCATGGAGCAACGTATTGTATGTGCACGAGTTGGG